AGCTTTGCATGATTCAAAGTTCAAAAAAATACACTACTCCTGTAGGCCTTCATTTCAGCCTCTGTCTGAAACGAGCTGTAGATGCTCCTGGCTCGTTAAGCCCTCCTCCTCCCCCCCTCCTCGCTGCCGTAACAGACAGCTGCCTCAGAAGGCATCACTTTCAAGCGAAGGCATCTCTGTTAACGTGGTAACGGCAACGCGTGACGTCAGCACGCCGTCTTGTGTCTCTTCTGGCTGTCATAAGAAGGATGCTAGCCTTAGCATCAGCTAACTAGCTATTGAAACAGACTCACGGGCTGATATGACAGTTTTTAGTTCTCGCTGCCTTTTCAAAAACTGAAGTGAGAAAACGACTAAAAACGAAAAAAGTATATTTGTATATGAATTCGGCTTCTTTGTCCGCCATCTTGACCAGTTTTTTAAAGCTACGGCGGCCGCAGCTAGTATGAGCAGCATTGAGTCACCGTCGATGCTGCCTTCAAAGCTGGCTGTTACTGGGCCAGCTTGAAGACATCTTACACGACAGGAAGAGATCGTTTGAGCTGCTTCGAACGGCACTCGATGCCTCGCTGTCCTGCTGGACACCTTCTGAAACAGCAGTTTAGCCCGTTTCAAACGCAGCCTGAGCGTAGCTGTGCGGAGCAAATGACCATATATGGAACAGCGGCTCCGTCTGGCTCGGTGTGTGAAAAGGAGCCGTTGGTAGAAAAAGCAGTTTAAAACAGAGCAGTCAGGAGGAAACCTGAGGTTTTTGCTCACAGGGGTTTCTTTTAAATACTTTAACCTCCATTATTTGAAGCTTTGGCCACATTTAACATGAACATCCAACATTATAATATTGTAGATGAGTCATAAAATGTGGAAAAGCATAATAGGTCTCCTTTAAAACAAAACGTACTGACCTGAAAAATAACTCCTGATGAGCTTTTTCAGCGGCGCTGGTTAAATGTACACAGAGCAGCAGATACGAGTCGCTTCCGTCCTGATTGACAGGCCGCCATGGTAGAGACTTGTCAATCAGCTTGTAGCCCCGCCCTAAAGCCTCCCCTGCTTCCTGGTCTCTGTTCCTCTAAATGGGACCATAATTTACTAAATGAACATCATGCTGTGTTGCAGAAGACTTGAAACTAGCGACTGAGAACAGAAACTCATCAGGAAAGTGTTTACTGAGGGAATAAATCAGCTGACAAGTAGAAACATTTTCTCACAGACTTCTATACAATCACACTTCTTTCTGCAGTCGGTGGAGTCGCCCCCTGCTGGCTGCTAGAGAGGACGCAGGTTTAAGGCGCCCCCTGCTGGCTGCTGGAGAGGACGCAGGTTTAAGGCGCCCCCTGCTGGCTGCTGGAGAGGACGCAGGTTTAAGGCGCCCCCTGCTGGCTGCTAGAGAGGACGCAGGTTTAAGACGCCTCCTGCTGGCTGCCGGAGAGGACGCAGGTTTAAGGCGCCCCCTGCTGGCTGCCAGAGAGGACGCAGGTTTAAGTCGCCCCCTGCTGGCTGCTGGAGAGGACGCAGGTTTAAGTCGCCCCCTGCTGGCTGCAGGAGAGGACGCAGGTTTAAGTCGCCCCCTGCTGGCTGCTAGAGAGGACGCAGGTTTAAGGCGCCCCCTGCTGGCTGCTAGAGAGGACGCAGGTTTAAGACGCCTCCTGCTGGCTGCCGGAGAGGACGCAGGTTTAAGGCGCCCCCTGCTGGCTGCCAGAGAGGACGCAGGTTTAAGGCGCCCCCTGCTGGCTGCCAGAGAGGACGCAGGTTTAAGTCGCCCCCTGCTGGCTGCTGGAGAGGACGCAGGTTTAAGGCGCCCCCTGCTGGCTGCCAGAGAGGACGCAGGTTTAAGTCGCCCCCTGCTGGCCGCTAGAGAGGACGACAGTGAACGCACCATTGCAGATGTCATACCGCGCTGGTTCTGATCATTTTGACTGGCTACGTTTTTAACAAGCCAGAAGACGAGTTCTGTGTCTTTTCCTGCGACTTCATAAAGCATAATGCTGATGGAGAAAGTCAGCAGAGCAGACACATACAGGGGGAGAGAGAAACAGGAAGAGGCTGGTGTGTTTGCAGCAGAGGTGAAGGTTTGTGTGAGTAAAGACTAAAATATGGTGGAGAATTTGAAAACATACCCGCTAACGCACACACAAGTAAATTCGTTATGGATCATTACAAATAAAAGCACAAAGTAGTCACAAAGATGCAGTGATAAACATTTTATCATCGAGTCGTGAGTTGAGTAGAGATTTTCACCCACATTCTTGTCTAAATCGCTGCAAACTGAATATCTTATTTAGACAAACAAGAGGAAGAAGAAACTGTGTTTTCTACAATGTAAAGGAGGCCCGCAGCAGCCGTCAGGTCGGTGCAGCGATGAATGTGCAGGTCTGAGGAGCGTCCGTTGGGCCTCTCTGATCATCAGCAGCTTAAACAAACAGTCGTCCATCTGTCCGGAGTCGCTGTTCGAGCAGCAGCTGAAGTTATGTAACGGAGGGAAAGTTACAGCGTCAGTCATGTGGACACTAATGAGAGAGAGAAGCTGGCAGGTCAGAGTCAGACTTCCATCAGCAGCTTTCATAACGGCCTCACTGCTCCAGTTTAACACCCGGACCTGAACCAGGATCGATACTCGGGCCGCACCAACGATTATTTTAGTTACCAAATAATCTTTTCTTAGTGTGTATATATAAGTTTCTAAAAGAGAATTGCAAATCCTAACACATCATCAAAACTGTGTTTTTTCAGCTCTGAAAGCCGGCCTTGTTTTAGCTGAGATGAAACTGGTTCTGGACGCTCCTTAGAAACTCTTTGACCTTAGAGGAAAATGTTCACTAGTGGTCGACCGATATTTGGAGAGCAGGAGGGCAGATATGTAATGCCAGAAAGAAAAGTCATGTGTAATCCATTATTCCTGCAGAGTCCAATCTAATATCCATGTTTTCTCAGCAGCAACGAGTTGTTTTATTAATTATTAATGAAACAGAAACTTACTTTGGGTTCAGAGCGTGGCTGGTGTTTAATGGTGAGCGAGGTTCAGTTTGTCATTCAGCTGCATTATTCTTTACAGCAGTGGTCGGGCCAGAACCGGCCCGCCACCAATGATATCCGGCCAGATTGCTTTGATAGCAGAAAAATAAAAATAAATAAATTGACAGCGGCTGGTGATGAAATAGATCTCAGTCATGACAGATACAGTTACTCACAGAATCACTTCCTCTTAAGTGATTGTGCCTCCAAAATAAATGCTTAATGGCAAGTTTATTGAGAGCTTTTACTTTGAAGAGTTCTGAACGACATTCAAAAGAGTCTCTGGCTTGCTTGACACACCTCACACACAAGAAATTATTTGGAAAAAGTGTTTCCATCTCTCATTTAGCGCATTTACTCTTTTTCGACAAAGGCGAAAACTAGCTCATGTGAGCGTAAAAACTGTTTTTGCGAAATAAAAGATTTGTTTTCGAATTTTGCCATTTCCATCAACCTTTCTAACGTGACGCTTCAAAATGCGCATTAAAAAACGTTGATGGAAACTTTTCTTGCGTGAGTTTTATCGCTGCACTACTGCAGAGTGTTCACACACAACGTGATAATGCTAATAAACACTAAAAACTAGCTTATGTCAGCTGGATGAAACCAAAGTAAACATTTTGCTGTGTTTAGTTGCAAGAAACAGATCAAACCGATCCGAAATAACTACAATATGATGCTGATATGTTAGACAGATGAATTGATTGTTTGTCAGCAGGACAACAACTTTTAAAATATTTGTTTTCTGAATGGAGGTTGGGTCGATCACGGCTATGCTACGCTAACCTGTTCACAGTAAAGTACAACGACAGCTGGAATCACACTCATTTTCTGAACTCACCAGGTAGTTCAACTTTCTTGCTTACTTTCCCTTAAGTCATGTTTCGTGTAGATGGTTTTATATTAATATGAAGTAGTAGTCCAACAGAGCTCTGGGTTCCCACTGACGCTAACAACAGCAGTGGAAGTCAGAAACAAGCGGTGGCTAACTGCTGAGAAGCACGAGTGAACATAAATCTACTTTTTAATCCCAAGTAAAAGTCTATTTAATAAAAGCAGTTAACTCTGAGCTGCTCCCGCCTGTAAGCAGCTCTGTTATCAGAAGCAGAGAAGGGCGGGTCAGCGAGAAGCCGGTAAACGGCTCGGGTTCAGCCGTACGTGTTGCCGACCAGCTTGGCAACACGGACTGGAGCGAGAGTTTCAGAGCGGTGAGTTATTAATCTGTATCCATAAAGTTTTAACTGAGCTCAGGAACAACTTTCTGTCCACTGACTGCCTGGAGGGTAGCTAGTGTTTGGAAGGGAGAGGAGAGCTGTGTGCTGCAGCGTGTCGGAGTAGCCGCTTGGCGAGCGATATATGAGGCGCGTTTAGCTTTCAACCCTGTGATGTCACAGGGATGAAAGGGAAGCGGCTGCACTACAAAGGAGCTGATTTCAGTTCAGAGCAGAGTTTTCTGTGGGAGATGGGAACTCACTTTGGGCTTTTTCACTTTGCAAACCTGTTACATGCACATAAAGGAATAAAACTCAATAAAGGAGAGGGGAAAAGCCAAAAAGCAGAATCTCACCTCTCTAAAGCTGATAGGCTATTAAGACACAACATCATGCAACTTTCTTTCTGGAAATGTTGCCGCCTGACAGTAATTTGCACCTCTTCGTGTCTTTGCTTTGACTTTGCTGCGCCCAACGCGCTCACCTCGCGATGTACTGAATGCACGGTCATGGAGTAAGTTGGTCATGGTAACTTTGACACTGGAGATTTCTATCCATCGATCTTTCTCTGACCTTTAACCAAGTAGCTGCAAAGTTTAACCACAGAGGTGGCAGGTCATACATTTTTTAAAGTTTGAGAACAACAAGTAAAGGATGTAAGCGCTTTGTCCACAGCTGGTTTGAGCTGCCGGACTCTTCTCATATCTGTTCTGTGTTTGTTGATGCAGCCAATGAAACGTTTCCTTCTTCTTTTTCTTCTCTTCCTGTCGTTATCAGAAGAAAAGCAAAGGCAAGAAGGGAGAGAAGAACCAGAACGACAACAGCCGCCGAGATGAAGGAGGTGAGTGTGTGTCAGATTGTGGGTTTCCTCTGACTGATCTCGGTCTCTCACTTCCTGTTTCTACGTCTAAATGTCATGAGAATCTGACAAACAAGCTGTCACTCTGGGCATTTTAGCATTTGTTTTCATATTTTCAAACACCAGTGGTTCTCACTCGGGGGCGGAGGGAAGTGTTACTTGCTGATCAACAAGACAAAACTGTTTTATTAATTATTTTTTCAGCTGTTTCTCTGAGCTTTTTTTTAATAGTGAGATAGTTTTAACCCTTCAGGACGTAGAAAAACAAGTTAAACCTGCAGTAACTAATTATTTTGTCGGATTCTCGGAAGACTAGAGGTGCTATATAAGTACAGCCCATTTACCATTTGTCACTCATGGACTTAGTTAGAAGTTAGGGATGCACCAAAATGAAAATTCTTGGCCGAAGCTGAAACCGTTTGATTTTCTCTCCCTGTTAGCTCCGTGTTTGGTCTCCACCAGCTCCTGAAAGAAAAATCTGACCCTTTAGCTTCTAAATGCTCCGCTTTGCTCACCAGCTCGTCTCTAACTGTGTCTGTCTGCTGTGTTGGTAATGACATGCGGCTGTTTAAATTTACTTCCTATAAAGAGGAAGAGGATGAAGGTCACCGAGCGCTGACGAGATCTGTGGTGAAGAGGTTGGTATCAGAACCGAGATTAAATAAGAATTGGATTCCATAAGTAGAATCTGAATTGTTAAGACGATACCCAACCCCAGGGTGGTGGCTTTTTATAGCTTTGTCTCTGAGAACAGCTGCTGCGGCTGAGGACTTCCTCTTTTGTCTCTCAACTAGAGCTGCACGATTTGGAGAAAAAGTCATATTGTGATTTTTGCGGCCAACATTGTGATTATGATGGAACAAATGGTCCTCTGAGTCTGCTCGCTTGGTTATCAAGGAATGTGCAAAATCCTGACATTTTGAAATGTGTGTTTCTCAACTTGAACAAAGTGAAACAATATTTAGAACAATAACTAGTAAACCAGATGTAAAACAGAACAAGGGGAGCAGATGTTGGCGCGCCGGCTCAGTGTCCGTCTGTCTGATGCAGAGTCTCCATCCACAACCTGGAGGAGGACCTGGACACCAGTGTGTTCAATAAGTATAACAATAAGATATCAAATACTGCATTTCATATAATAGTGTACTTTTTTACCACTTGTTTTAAAACCAGTTATAACTAGGGATGGGTATCGCTACTCAGTACCTTTACGGTATCGACCGAAACAGCCCGATATCGAGTAGAATCGAAACGTCTCCAGACAAACGAGTACTTCATTCAATACCTAGGCCTACTTCTTGTAACCAGATTGGGGCGAAAAATGACAATTTGTGTCGTTTTGCTTGCAGCCAAACACACCGAAAGAAAGAGAAGAGCACGCCTTTTATTTCCTGATGTGCCTGCACCATAAACTGGATAAAAACGGCTGCACGCGCTCAGTCCACGCTGATTTTTAACAGCCGCTCACCTTCGGCTGCGTCTCAGGCGTGTTCCTCACTGTTGCCAGTTTCTCACCACAAGCTCGGCTTTCCGTTGGTTTCATCTCCTGTTATCATTTAACACCTCTGTACATTTTTATTTGTTCGCATCACTTGTCGCCGATCGATCGCTGCGTTTCTTCACATCAGTTAAATCAGCTGATTTTCCTGACGGAGCCTGCGGCTGCAGCTGCGGCTGCTTCAGGTGCAGCTGGTTTGATCGGCTGGACGTGGAGCCTCTCTCTACTCTGTTGGAGTCTTTAGTGTAGTTTAATGACTTCTTTTAACAGAAAATCCTTTTCCGTCTTTTACTTTCAACACACGTATTAAAAAAATGGCTTAAATTAGTTTCCCACAACTTATTTGGTCACTGAACTGTTTCACTCCTCCTCAAATATAAAATATCTCCCAAGCTGCAGTCTTTCCCCTTATAGGCTAATACCAGCAGTGAGGACGACCTAATTAGGATGAGGAGCGATCTGGAATACTTTTTATGTAGCGGTTATTTGAAACAAGAAAAAATAAAATGGATCACTTTGCTCGTATCGAATGAAGTACTCTATCGGTATCACTTTAAGGGGCCTGGGTTTCTCATTGCACGTAGGCTTATCTGTTTTTAGAGGAACATGCGAGCGCCCGGTGTGGGCGGACAGAGACGCAGCGCCACGCACTCTCAACTCTCAACTACTCGTTGTGATTGGTTCACGCAGCCGGTTTCTCAAAGTTGGGAACACACCCACATTTATCCTCCGATATCGGATCGCAGCCGGCTCACCTGTCTCTCCGTGTGCTGCAGCGGGACATTAGCTGGATGTTGAAATCTTCGGCTCGATGATGTTGCTGATATTATTTGCAGTATTTCCAGAAATCATCGCTCAACCGGCGGATTTTTCCTTTTATTGGTCTGGAAACTTTTCACTCTTGATAAGCTATAATTTATTGCTAATTTTATTTGGAATAACTAGCTTTTAATAATACTGACATTGTTATAAACGGCTAATAAAACACAGTAACCCAGCAGCTGATCCAGGTGCTGTGCACGGTTTGGCCTGTCGTAGCAGGTAAGGCAACACCTGTGCTTTTTAACTGATAACATCAACCGTCACTCCTTCAGGCGGCACGTCAAGATCATAAAATGCAGGTAGAGGTGAGCGCAAGCAGCAGATGTCAATATAATAACAATAATAACTTTATTTGTATGGCACTATGGTGCTATACAGAAAGACAAACGTGATCCATACTTAAAAATATAAATCAATTAAAAATCAACATTAAATAATACAATAACAGCAAGAATATAAGCTTTAGAAAACCAATAAAAGTGAAACTTAAGAAGAGATTTAAGAGGCCACTGAGTTTCCACAGCTGAGAGGTCCGGGCAATACATACACAACCTACATAATGGTCAGTTCATAAAAGCAAACTTTTGTTTGCGTTTCACATCGTTCGTACATTTCAGCTGTAAGATTCTGAGTGGCTCGTCAACATGGTTCCTACATCCCTGAAACGCTGTTTACACGACGTTGTTTACAAGAGTACAAAGTTCTTCATAGAGAGCCGCTTACTTTTGTACCAAATTAATGCTTTTAACTTTAAAATGTGCAAAACTTTCTTCTTTCCCGCTGAGAGGGGTCTCTTAAAATCCTGCTTGGAAACACTGAGATTACATAAAAACCTTTTTCTTTTCATAAAACAGCCCTTATTAAAACATACTTCTATCAAAGAGTCTTCCCTGATTTAATTTGAAGTATAATACGGGAATGACTTTTTTAATTTGTTTTACCCGTCTTCATGTTTTAACTGCTTGAAATAGTTTTTAAATCAATTACTTTATAACTTGTGATTGATTCTTCCAAAACACTTTGTGAAGTTGGTTTTAAAAGTGCTCCATAAATAAAGATGATTATTATTATTATTATTATTATTATTATATAAGCACACACTCATTCTGACAAAGACATGTGGCGGCTCTGCAGCCTGCAAACGAGTAAAAACATCAGGAGCCAAAACAAAATGCTAAAAAGCTGCTGAAATGGAAATGATGATTAAAGTTGATGACGATGATTATGATTATTATTATTTGCTCCAACTTCAGACGTTTACGGGCTGCAGGAGTTTGAGCTTACAGATCTGTGCTGGAGAGAAAAGGGGTGATTACAGGTGAGCTGACAGACTGAACCATCTGCTGTGACTCACCATGCGCTCGTTTCCGCCCGTTTATGAGCAGTGTAGAGTTTCATTCACTCATTTCAGACAGGATGGTGCGACCGCGCTGTCGTCATCCTTCTGTGAATCACTGTCGCTTTGGCACGAGGACTCTGGAAAACAGCTGGTTAGAAGTCATTTCCCCCTGCGGTGGTTTACTGTGGTTCCACGGGCACGGCGGGCTGTTCTCTTGCTGTTTATGATAAATGAAGGAATTTTGTGCAGTGATGCACACTAGAGCTGCATCCACGCCGCTAAGTCTTGGTTTTAACACTCAGACCTTCTGCTACGTTTCCACCGGACGTCCAGAAAGAAACGGTGAAGTTTGAAAACGCCGCTGACCCCGTTCTGAGTGATGACAGCATCCTGCTTAATTCCATTGCAGATCAAAAGAGTCCGGTTTCCTACATTTTAAAATGAAACAAACTAACAACAACATGATGAACGCATTTAGATAACTACATTGTAGAAGAAGAGCCTTTAGCCTGGACCCCCTCCCGGGTTCCGCTCTGGACCTGCCGGATCAGACTCTCGGCTACGGTTCCCCCTGCTGCGGCACGCATCTCTTTTAGCTCTGCCTCGCTCTTCACCTGCTCAATATCCGATCCCCTGCAATAAAAATTCTTCTTTCATCGAACTCCTCCCTTTCTCAGTCGTGCACTTGGATCTGCCAGCCGCCATAACAAAGTTAAAAACAAAGATTTGGTAATAATCGCTCGTAATTACTATCAAAGCATTGAAGACAGCCCCAGTGTTTTTATTAAAATATTCAGTACTGTGCAAATAAGACTTGTACACTTGTACTCTGTACGTCTCGAGATTTGCTTTGCGGCGACCCCCAGCCTGTTTCCCGCCGCCACAGCCTCTAACGCACTAACCTGCGCTGTAGTAACTTCCCTGTTAACTAACCTATTTTACATCTTGTTTATTCCTTATTCTTATTTTGATATTTCGATATGTTCATGTACTCAATACAACCTTTATCGTCCCACCAGGGGAAATTTGATTTGCAATAAAACAAACATACGTGAGACATGAACAAAGACGAGAAGGGCCGTCAATGGTAGCAGCAGCAACGCTGTCGGATGCTTCTGAGCAGCAGCTCCAGCTCGCTGCCGATTCAGGCCGTTAACTGCCGTGGGTGAAAAGGAAAATTTTATCTTGAGTAATCTTCGCCCAGAGGGGAGAAGAACAAATTCCTCCAACGGAGGGTGGTCAGAGCTGGCTGTGATAGGCCCAGCCTTACGCCTACCTTGTCTGTTCTAGATGGTCTGCCAGGGAAAGTTTTTCCACTGCCAGTTTTTTATTCTTGCTACCTCGACGATGTCAGACAGTTTATTTTTGCTTTGCACTGTAAGATTGTCGTACCAGGCTATGCAACAAAAAGTTCAAATTGATTCAATAAAAGATTATATTACATATCAATTCTAAAACACTAAAGGTATTAATGTGGACTGCAACACTAATGCCACAGTAAACACTTGTGACGTAATGTCTTATGTCTCTGCGTTGGCTAAACAGTTTGAAGCTTCGCATGTTGATCACATGAGAAAGCTTCACGCCTGGTTCTCAGTCATCAGGATCACATGTGCCTTTTTGTGTCTGCAAAGTGTCCTCTAATAAATTCTTCATGACTTAATAAACCCACAAAGCCTCCACTTTATGTGAAGATGTTTTCCATGCACTCATTTCATATATTAGTTTATTACTCAACACCAGCTCTGATTTATTATTTATTACATCTTGTTTTTCACTTTTAATTCAGACCCGGTCTCCTCCCCCGTACGACTCTGAAGGATCGCAAAGCTTCGATGTTTGTGTCTCAACTGTCAAACGGCAACAGAAAAAAACTGAAGCTGCTCTTTGTTTAAAAATGAATCCATCTTCAGACAGGCTCTGACCTGTTTCCACCTTAATTTGTACTTGGATTAATAAAAAAATGCAGGAGCTACAGCCTCAGAAAGCCACACTGATGTTACAAACATCACGTATCATTCTTTTGACGCTCGTCGTTCTGTTCTAGATGTTTTATGCCAAGTAGAAATTGTTTTATAATGTCCTCAAAAAAACGTAATGATCAGGTTTTTGCAGGGTTAAGAATGACCCTCGTTAAGTTTACGATGCTTTTGGGAGTGCAGCCTGCAGACATGAAGTCCAAACTGAAGACGTCATTGAATCTGAATGAGCGTGCGTCTGCATGTCGATGATGTAATGACAGGAAGAAATGTAATTAGTTAGATCTGTGTGTGTTTACATGTCATATTAACCCCTCAACTCCTGAAGAGACAGAGGACATGAAATGGATGCACAGACAGTTTTAGTCAACCTGCCAACAAGGTTTGAATCCTAAAACTTATATTCATATTATTTATTTATTCATTTTTCTTTGTATAACGAACAACTTCAGCGCAACAATTTCTTTTAAGATGGATAATGTTGTTGAATGTTAGAGCGCCTTCATTTTAATCTTAAGTTGTTGTTTTTATTTAACCACGTCCACGTGGCGCCTGTTTCCAGGAAAAACGCCTAAAATAACTGGAATCGGTAAAAAATCCTCAACCATCAGGCGTAGATTCATAACTCTGGTCTCCTTTGAAAGGTCAGAAGCTAAGAAATATAAAATCCATCCTTACATTAACATATTCGTTTTACCATTACAGACTACATGGAGATGCAATACAGAAAAAATTACATTTTCATCCTCGTCTGGTTTAAAAAAAAAAGCTATATTTTAATGCAATAAACCATCAAAACCATCATAAGGTAGATTATAATGCACCTGAATATCTTCTAGTACACCTGGAACACAACTGTCACTGTCAATCTGATGAAAACAAACTAATATACAACAGTTATCACACAATCTTTCAAACATACACCAGGCGAATGTCCATGTTTTGGCCATATTTACTGTTTATATGTTCACTTTTATTGGGAGTTATCTTCAAAACATTATTTCTCTCCATGCAACCACATTCAACACAACAACACAAATAAGAACAGCGAAAATCAATCTGGTACCGCTTGGTTAAATCTTGTGCAAATACGACAAAATTAAAAAAACACTTTTTGTGTGCACGAGATAAAATGTTATTTCCCGTGTTCTCTTCACTGTGACAATGGAAGGTGCACAGAGTACTGAGGAGAAGAAACGCTGAGGTCATGTCAAGTCATGGATTACAGCTTCTTACGAATGTTGTATCACCTGCTGCGTTCAATCCAGGTTGCTTGTAAAACTGCGTAGCTATAAGGGATTCTGTAACTGTAACCTGCTTTTCACTTACAGAGCACAACCATGTAATGTGCAATGCGATTATTGATGGTTTATTAAATACTGTAAGTCAAAACACTGCCCAGACTCTCAAACCCAGTGTAACGTTAACTAAATAAAACTGTGGCGTTAACATGGTCAACAATAAACCTGTAACCTGTTTTTAACTTACAGAGCACAACCATGTAATGTGCACTGCTACTAGTCACAGCTTATAAACTACTGTAAGCCAACACGTCCCCCAGACTCTCAAACCCTGTGTAACGTTATAACCAAATTAAACTGTTACTTTACATTAACAATAAACCTGTAACCTGCTTTTCACAGAGCACAACCATGTAATGTGCACTGCTGCTAGTCACAGCTTATAAACTACTGTAAGCCAACACGTCCCCCAGACTCTCAAACCCTGTGTAACGTTATAACCAAATTAAACTGTTACTTTACATTAACAATAAACCTGTAACCTGCTTTTCACAGAGCACAACCATGTAATGTGCACTGCTACTAGTCACAGCTTATAAACTACTGTAAGCCAACACGTCCCCCAGACTCTCAAACCCTGTGTAACGTTATAACCAAATTAAACTGTTACTTTACATTAACAATAAACCTGTAACCTGCTTTTCACAGAGCACAACCATGTAATGTGCACTGCTGCTAGTCACAGCTTATAAACTACTGTAAGCCAACACGTCCCCCAGACTCTCAAACCCAGTGTAACGTTATAACCAAATTAAACTGTAACTTTACATCAACAATAAACCTGTAACCTGTTTGCAGCCGACGGTAATAATTAACGTGACGGCAGCCAGCGGGACGTAAATGATTCCGTTAATCGACCGCCACAAGGTTGGCGAGTAAACGAACGCTCGTTCATCTTTTCATAATGAAAAGTTAACCTCCCGTAGGTCGTAGCTGAAGCAAGCTAACGTTAGATGGCCAGTGCTGAGCTAACCGCAGGTTACTAACCTATTTTGCGTTCGGCGCTTCTTCGTTTGGGCCTTGTTGTATAAAGCCAAAGTTTACGATGAACGGCTCGGCAGCTGGTTGTTGTCCTCTCACGTGTTACGTAGGCAGGTTGTAGGTAACGCAGGGAGTGAAGAACGGCACGCTTATCAGACGCTTCCTAAAGTAAACATTGTTCACGAGTCCGAGCCGAGTCTGAAGTCACTGTGTGTGCGACTCAAGTCTGACTCGAGTCCGAGTCTAAAACTCGAGTCCCCATCTCTGGTTTAAGACTCGCTCTGAAGCAGAACCGCTGCAGAAGGATCTTGTGTTTGAGAGGCTGAAGCTGCAATGACAATGCAGAAGAAGCTGAACCAGATGGAGAAAGCTCTCCTGAAACAGAAGGAGGAGGCTGAGGAGATGGTGAGAAGAGGCCAGACTTCCCTTCGAGCCCAGCTGGAAGAACTCTGCCTTACATGCGTGGCCCCCTGGCCTCCTCGGACATGGACCCCTAATGATTCCATTTTAAAATACAGTTTATTATTGAAGACCACAAGGAATTAGAAGGAGCCTCTTTTTGAAAGCATTTGTTAAAAATGTTCTGAAAAATAATTTGCAGCAAGAAATGTTAAATGACAAACCTGAGAAAGGTTTATTTAGACAATAAGAAAGTTTCTAACAAACAAATGTGCATTATAGAGACCGACCGATATGAAATTTTTAAGTCCCATACCGATTTCGATATTTGAGGATTTTAAAATCCAATAGCCGATATATATCGGCCGATATTCTTTTCCCCTTATTTTAAGAAACGCATAAAATAAACAAAGATTATCCCTAACATTTGTTATGTTGAGACCTCACCACGATACCATGACATAATGCAGTTTAAACATAAACTTGTACTGTTTCAACTAAATACATAAACGTTTTGATAATAAGAAACTACAGAAAACATTTTTCAAATATCTGATTTTTATATATATATATATATACTACTACTACTGAACATTAAATAGTGTAAGTATTGTGTGAGCCAGCGAAACAAACTATAGAAAATACCAATATAGTGCTACTACTGAAAATAATATACCAAATATCATCTCTCATGTCATTGCGATCATAATAATGATTAACGGGGTTCTCCTACACAGGCCAATAATTATAGATAGATATCTATCTATCGGTCAGCTGATGTTTTGTTCTGTGGTGCAGCAGTGTTGTTAACAGAGGAGCTGCAGAGCGCCCTCTGGTGGGCAAACTATGAAACACTCATGACCTGAGGGAAGGATCCGACTCTCTTTCTCTTTTCATTAATTGTCATATCTCGGCTGTTATAAACGCTGAGGCAGGTAGCTTATATCAGCCGATAATAGCTGCAAAACGATAAATGGGTCGGGTTTTAGTGCATTATACAAAAAGGTAACTTAACTTACTGCATTATATCTTAATATTTCACCTTTTGTGTTTCCCTTAATGTAAATAAAGACATGTCCACCATAGGTTGGTGCAGAAAAATGTCAGAAAGGGGTTTAATGCTTAAGGGCTTATGGGGGATCCACAGAGCCCCCACTCATGTTCTGTATTTTAGCATTATTTTTTTGTTTTAGCAATATTTCTTCAGAATAGTCTTAAAATATCTTCCCGTCTCGTTCTTGTTTTGTCACACCCCTAACCTCAGCCCTTATGTCCCCACCGCTTCAACACGATGATGATGGATACGAAGTTTATTAAAGGGGCACTTCACCGTTTTGGTTTTACATTTACGTTTTTCTTTCCGCAGTTTGAGTGACTTCCCATCATGCTGTGTGTCTGTTTGCAGGTAAACGGGCGTCAGGCGAGCAGGACGTCTGTCTGGAGAAGCAGCTGGAGCGGTTTGAGTGGCAGCTGAGGACTTTAAAGGAAGTGCTCTCTGCCAACGGGAACCCCGAGAGGGCGGAGCTACTGAAAGACCACGCCGATGAAGACGTGTGCGCCCTGGTCCTGGGCATCCTCGATAAGGTGAGCAGGTCATGTAGGGCTGATGAAACTTCAGCGATCACTCCTGATGGCAGCGGCCTCACGGGTGAGATGGTTGACCACAGCCTTGTATCCACCTGTGACACCTTGTGTTTTCTACGTGAGCCCGCAGGACACTCCACCTTTGTACCTGATGGCCTCTTCTGTCTGTGTGACTGCAGGTGTCAACGCTTCAGTGGTGATGCTCTGAAAAGCGTCGTGCAGTCTGCTTTATGCAACGGTGTCTGATTTTTAGATGGCGGTGTGCGTCAGGTTACTTCATCGATACTTTAGCTTGGCGCCCCCGGTACATGAGGCACAAGGTAAATGTAACGTTTGCATTTACGTCAGCGCTAGATGTGGATTGTTTGGGGTCCGCTCCGTGGACTGGATGCTGGACCGGGTCTTTCTGCTCAGATGCTGAAGCCCTGGTTCTGTTGTGGTCGGCTGGTTCTGGACTCGCTGTACAGAGCTGCTGTTTCCTGTTAGCTTCTAATGATCCCAGACTTTGGACACTTCCTGTCTTTATCTCTGCCCTTCTTCCTCCCTCGCTGTTTTCTCTCTCTTCCTCCATTTTACAGTCGGCGGCATCCACAGCGTCAGTTGTTGTTCGACAGTAACAACAGTTTGTGTGTATAGTTACATGAATAAAACGAAGCATCGATGCTTCAAATGAGTGGCGTTAAAGTCACTTAGGCTGTGTTCAGACTGCAGCCTAAGTGAAACCAGATCTCATTTTCTTTGCTCGGATCGGATTTGTTTTTCACAAGTATTTATCTAGCTGACGCTTTTATCTAAAGCAACTTACAATTGCTATTTATGTCAGAGGCTACAGAAACAGCAAAAAATCGGGAGTGTTAGCAGGTATGAGCTAACCGGGGCTAACCTCCGTGGGCTCCATGCTTACTTCTGTACGACGGCGTGTTACGTTTGATGTCGCTCCATAAAGAAATCATTTTCCCTGGTTGGTGTGGAGGAACCTCGACCTCAGCCCCATCCAACACCTGTGGGATGAACTGGACCTGGTCTGAGCCAGACCTGATCACCAGCATCGGTGTTGGAGCAACTCCCTGCAGCAGACTCGGCCTCCTTTGGAAAGCCTGATCCCAGCAGAGTGGAGGCTGACAGGGCGGCACATTAATGATCAGGGTGTCACATTTGTGATTTCATTGGCAGCAGGAGCGGAAGTCTGCTTCAGGAGTTATTCATAGACTTGATTTGGCCGAGCGCTCGGCTCAGACGGCAGCTGCGCGGCCGAACGGCCTCTCCGGCGCACGTGACCGCCTGAGTTTGTTGACCATTTTGAACTTGCTGTTCGTGTCCTGGCTGTGACCCCGCTGAGTGTTCAGACACACCTCTGCACTGTCACATACGATCCTTCTGATGAGTGTTTCTGCAGGTCTTTTACTCTTCAGATTGTTTAGTAGATGTTCAGCTCTGTTGGGCTGCCAGCAGTCCAGTTCTCCCACAGACTCATTAATGTTTCATCATGATTTCTCTTAAGTCTGCTCTTTTGGTCGCGCCTGTCGATCGTCCAACTGAAAGCGGCCTCCTCTGATGTGATTTTCAGGTGAAAACAGAGACGACTGCTGACTTGAACGTGCTGCACGAGCAGAAAAGTAAAGCTGCTACTGAAGAACATGAGAGAAACCTGGAAGGTAACAAACGACACAGACGAAGAGAATCAGAAAGATTTTGACTTACCTTTTGTTATAATAGTTATTATGACATCTGGAAGGGTTTAATGATTCATCGTCTCTACATCAAACACACTTTACATATAGGAGGAATTTGCTTTGGTGATTAGGTGCTACACACTAACATACAGTTGTGATAAACAAATCAATATGTAATGAAGAGATGCAACACAGAACTACGTTTAAAGAAAAAAACCAAACGATGTGGCAGTTATTTACTTAAAAAATTGATACAGCAACATATCGTTTTTCCATGATACTGTATTGATATTCCAGCTCATCATATCTGGTGTTGTAGCTCCAGACCACTTTTTGATGCTCTCGGTCTTGTCGGATATCGACGTAGACCGATATCGTGATGTATCATTTTAGGATTGTCTAACGACACGTCGAGTATCGCAGAATTGTTGTATCGTGATATTATCGTTATCGTGAGCCGTGTATCGTATCGTGAGACACTCTGCGATTCCCATCCCTATTATTTCCATGTGCTGACATATTACAGGGGGAGAGGATTTGTATTTAAATAAATATAAAATTGACAAAATATAAAGAATGATAAGGAAATTTACACGAGTGTAACAATTTAAATAATAGCTTATATTATTGTTAACCTGACACCACACGTCTGGCCGTGAAATTTAATCAGCTGTAACTCGCGTTAATGCTGTCAGTTAGCCGAAATGCAAAATGAAACTTTTGGCACTTAAAGGATCATTTTCTGTATTTTTAAACCTGGGTCCTGTTTCTGAAATGACTCGTAGGTACAGAAAGTTTTGAAGCCGTGCAGAAGATGCTTCAGCCGGCAGCTGAACTGGCTGCAACATACAGTGCCTTGCAAAAGGATTCACCCCCCTTGGCATTTTTCCTGTTTTGTTGCCTCACAACCTGGAATTAGCATCAATTGTTTGAGGGAAACCGGAGCACCTGGAGAAAACCCACGCAGACACGGGGAGAACATGCAAACTCCGCACAGAAAGGCCGGGAAAACCGGGGTTTGAACCCACCACTGCTAACCACTGCAGCACCGCGCCAAATAGGACAAAATAACTTTGTAGAGCCAGCTTTTGTGGCCACTTACATTTATTAATTTAGCTGATGCTTTTTATCCAAAGCGACTTACAATTGTCATACGTGTCAGAGGTCGCACGCCTCTGGAGCAACGAGGGGTTAAGTGTCTTGCTCAGGGACACAGTGGTGGACGTGTCACAGTGGGGAGTTGAACCCGGGTCTCTCACACCAAAGGCATGTGTCTTATCCGCTGCGCCGTCACCACCCCGGTCGCAGCTCCAGGTCGGTTTGGATAAGTCTCTATGAGCTTACCGCATCTTACCACTGGGATTTTTGCCCATTCCTCCTTCCAAACTGCTCCAGCTCCTTCAAGTTGGATGGTTTACGCTTGTGAACAATTATCTTTAAGTCTGACCATAACGTGATGATTTTGGTCACTATAATCGTGATATGAAATTTTCATACCAACCCCTAACCCGACTTTACGCCTGTTTTTAAATTTTGAATTACGCGGAGAGCCGTACTTCTGACCAGACACACCGATCGCCGGCCGGTAAGAAGCCCTTTTTTTGTTTTTGCTTTAGCCAACGTGACGGTAAAATGTGGTATCGCTCAATAGACAAATGACGGGAAGTCAGACTGTCACAATGTGACACTTGAATTGCACACAGGTGGACATCATTTCACTAATTATGGGACTTCTGAAGTTAACTGGTTGCACCAGAGCTTTTTATGGGCTTCATAACAACAAGACACAGAAGCACATGCCAGTTTTCATTTCACTTGACCAACTTAGACTGTTGTGCTCTGATCCATCACGTGAAATTCAGATTAAACAAACATTGAACCAAAGGCTGTAACAGAATAGGTAAAAAGCTGAGGGGGTGAAGTCGTTTGAAGGGCACTGTAGTCAAAATGGCGTCCCACAAGTCATTTGAACATCAAAGGGCCCGGGTTTAAAAATACAGAAATGATTGTACATGCCAGCGTCTTTACTTTATTCACTCAGCCAAAGGTGGTGATTGATGACTAGTGTCTGATGTAGGAGCCAACCGTGACATCATCAACGAGCGACACAAATATATCAGTTCACCATCTCTTACCACCTGCATTTAGTGTCAGTGTTTGTGTGTGGACGTGTGGGAAATGGTTTTTAAAACTTTGAATTATCCACAGTTTCTGTGATTCACATACAAAATGCACAAAACGAGTTGGTATGATGTCACTCGACGTGTAAATAGACTGAATAATAGTATTTCTTTATTTCTCCTGCTGGAGTTGTGTGTATAAACAGTGAAACAGTATTTTTTTACAACCTTTGACTGTACTCTCAGTTCCTAGCAGCTTTAAACTTATGCTAAATCAGACTGAGAGCAGAGTTGGTAAAAGGAAATGGGATGAGGAGATGGACCGACGAATGCACAGTCTGCATGGTTACCTCTTTTTTTGGTTGCAGAGCTGCAGAAGAGACACGAGCAGGAGAAAACACAGCTGGCAGAAAAGTTTGAGGCTGCTGAGAACGTCCTGAAGGTAAAAAGATCAGAAGATGTTGGTCGGTCGGTTCATCACGTCACAGTTTTACGGTGTTGCAGTCCGTACGTCGGTTTTCATGCTTTAACTTTTTACATTTCTGTTGTGAATGAAGGGCAACGTGGAGGAGCTGACAGCAGAGCTGCAGGTTTTCAACGAGCTGAAGAGGAGGGTCGAAGAATCGACGTTTAAGAAGGACCTGCAGAGAAATATTCAGGTGCTTACCACACAACCTGTAAAAGAAGATGACCATGCCGCTGTGAAGCCGCCCTGGTGCTTTGTGGACTACCGTCCTGAAGCCTTGTCAGTTTCTTCTCCTTCTCAGGCGTGTCCATATATGGACGAGAGGGTGGAGCTAGCTAGCTTGGTCAGCAAGGTGTCCCTGTAATTCACGTCGACTGTGATGTTAGCTGGGATGCTACTTTTGGCTGCCGACAAACAGGCTTATGTATTTACGAGAAAAACACAGTGTGTTTTAGTAGAACTGAACGCTGAACATCACTTGTGGATCATCTCAGGCCTGTTGCAAAGAATCTCGGCGTGCGGTTTCGAGCAGCACACCACAAAGCTTGTTACCGTCTTAAATATATCAAAAATATGATCAATGTTAACTTTTAAGCACACCGAGAGCATCTTACATCACGCCTGGATTACCGCAGCAGCCTTTTCACTACTGATCGACTCCAGACTGTCTGTTCCAGGGTCTCCACTGAAAACTGAGGGGGACAGTTTGCAGTCGGGCCCCGAGGCTCTGGAACAGCCTTTTATAGGAGAGCCTTTCCTGATTTCAGTTGATTTTATATATTTATTTAAAACTGCATTAATATTTCTTATTTAAGTTTCTTCCTGCGTTGTGTCTGTTTTATATCTGTATTTTATTGTCTTTGCACTTTTTGAAAAGTGCTCTTTAAGTAAAGATTATTGTTGTTCTGTGAAATGGTCAAAGCTCTGATTTCAATAGAATCTCTCTTGAATCTGCTCCGGGTCGGCCGTGACACCTCCAAGTAAATTAAAGTTATAAATGACTACAACTTAAAGACCAGACAATTAAAATGGGTTATTTCTGATTTCTAATAAAAGCCAGGAACTGAATTCACTCAGGCTGCGTCCCAAAAGTCTTTCCTGCTCAGGAAGGTCCTGACTGAGCGAAGTGACCCGGAAGTGTTTCAGCAGCAGCAGCCGTGATGAGAGCTGGTCGAGTTCTCTAAAGGCTTCCTCTCAAATCTCCTTTAGCATAGGGCACACCGGACCATCCTTTACCAAAGGAAAGGAGAGAACGCCGTCCCACAATTCCTTGTGGCGGCAACATTTAAAGCGACGCAAGTTCTCAAACTCAAACGATAAAATCCATCGACCACATTTAGCAAAATCCTGCAACACAGACGCACATCATGATACTTTAATAAGTTCTCAGTTCTTAGTTTCCTTCTTTCTCTTGGTTTGTTTTCTTTTGGCTTCGCTGTAATCTGAAGCCGTTTCAGCACCGTTTTACGTTTTACGTTGTTGAAATAAGCCATAAAGTGTTTTCTACAATAATAAAAAAGAGAAATCGACGGATAAAGGAGGTTGATCAAGTTGGATATTAAGCCTTTTCTCTCTCATGCCAGAACTCTAATAACTGAGACCCCTGCGAGCTGTGTAGTCTTGTAAAATGATCAAAGTGAGGAGAATTTGCAGCGTGTAGCCTCACGTTCTGGATTGCAGCCTTCAGCAATATCAAAACCGTCGCCTTAATAAAGGCCTAGAAAAGAGCAGCGGGATTGTCTGAGCCCCGCCGTCCTTACGGATCCTCCTTCACATCAGGAAAGGTGGTGAGGAAGGGAGATTTCGTTGACTTTTTGGACGCAGCCTAAGTTCTCTGTGCCTCCCACCCTACAGGCCCATGGCAGCCCAGGTGCATTCTGGGAGTCTGAACAGGAGTCTCTGCTGTTTGTAATTGAGATGAAGAGTGAGCGTGTGCGGGAGCAGAGCAGGAAGCTGCAGCAGATGGACGCTCTGGTAGGTCCAGTTTACTCTCGTGTGTTTAACTTTTAACTCTGTCTGCAAAGCAAATATTTCTTTTACACACAGAATAATTCTGCTTCTTCTTGATTCTCAGGTGGAAAAGAATTTGGCTTTGGAGGATCAGATCATCCACACCCTGCAGCAGAACGAGGATCTGAGAGTCCGGATGGACAACTGTCAGGCTCTGATTCAGTACGTACACCACCAAGTCTTCTCCTCTGTAACAGCAGCAGGAATGTGGCGCCACCTGCTGGACAGTTTGCATCTGCTGAGAAACATTATTCACCTTTTTGTTTAAAGGATTAAGGACAGAATATTTCGATAAAGGGTTTAAAATTTTTAGAGGATTTAAAAAGTGAGAAATAATTTTTTTTCTTTTACCAAATTATTATGCAGTCAGTTGCCAGTTTATCAGGTTCTCTGAGCTGAAACCAAGTCTGTCTAATCCAGCAGCGGTGCAGTAAACCTTCCTGACGTGTTCACATGCAACGCAAAGTGAATTTCCTCATCCTGGTAATATTTACCCTTAATCTGGTTTGCTACAAGTTTTATACAACACAAAGTTGTAAAATGAAAATAAAGTCTGTAGTCCCTTCATGCTGCACACACAGAACTTAACAGATAATGAATGTATATTAAAATATAAAAGAAAACATATATATACACATATACACCCAAAATAAACATTTTGCAGTGATTTAATTGCAATATAAGGATCAAAATGATGCCAGTTTGTTAAACATATGAATTCATGCTTGGTCAGGTCAGTTTGCATGATGGCAAGTAAACATTTAAAATGTTTGTTTTCTAAAAGTGGATCAATCAGGGCTATGCTAACTTGTTCACAGTACGATTGCTGGAATCAAGTAACAGACACATATTTTCTGAACTCACCGGTAAAGCTGAAACGTTTAATCGATTAGTTGTCAACTGTTAAATTAACCTGCAACTATTTTGATTATCGATTAATCGCTTTGAGTCCGTTTTTTAAAGAAAAAACTAGAGCCCGACAGATTTATCGTTTTGCAGATTTTATCGGCCGATATAAGCTACTTGCAGATAACTGCATCAGCGTTTATGACAGCTGATATATGACCAGAGAAACGGTGGCGGATCCTTCCCTCAGGTCACGAGTGTTGCGTAGTTTGCCCACCAGAGGGCGCTCTGCAGCTCCTCTGTTAACAACACTGCAGCACCACAGAACAAAACATCAGCTGACCGCTGGAGCTCAGCGTTCACACTCACTGTTAAATTAGCCACAAAGCCCATGCCGTGTTTATCAGTGGAGGGGCGCTAACGTTGATGAGCGATTAAACTATAATGTTTGACGTATTCTAAATATATCTTATTATAGATAAATATAATATAAATATATTATAGCATGACAAAAAATATATATATGTAATTATTTGCCTATGTAGGAGAGCCCAATTTATTATTATTATTATTATTATTATTATAGCAATGACATTAGATATGACATATGGTATTATTCGTAGAAGTAGTTGCAGTATCAGTATATGGGTAATTTGCTTGCCCCCAAAATACACTATTTACTTTAATATTCATTAGTAGTACAAATCAGATATTTAAGTTTTTATTTGACCTTTTTTTTTTTTTTTTTTTTTTTTTTTTTTTTTTTTTTTAATCAAAACCTTAATAGATTTTGTTGTACTTTTGATTTAAGTACTATTTATCACAATGGAAAAGTTTCTTTTTATAATGCATTATGTATGTCATGGTAGGGATAATCTTTGTTTGTGTCATGCATTTCTTAAAATAAGAGGAAAAAACCATATCGGCCGATATAGAAATATCGAAATCCGTATCGGACCTAAAAATCCCATAATATCAGTCGGGCTCTAGAAAAAACGTCCAAGTTCTCTGATTCCAGTTTCTCCAATGTGAATATTTTCAGTCTTCCTCTGGCAGTAAACTGAATATTATTGGCTGGTGGACAAAACAAGAAATTTCCGGACGTCACCTTGGGCTTTGGGAAACACTGACAGACATTTTATCACAATTTTCTGGACCTAACAAATCGATTTATCGCTAATATAATTGTTAGTTGCAGCTCTACTCGCCAGATCCCGATGAACAATCTCCTCTGTTCTCCGTTTCCCAGGCAGTTATCAAAGGAGCAGCAGGACCTGAAGGTGGCGCTGGAGAGGCAGGCAGCAGTCAGCCAGAAGCTTTCTCAGGAAAAAGAGCAGCTGATGTTCAAACTGAGACACAGAGACTCGTGTCCGACCATCCTGCTGCCCACCATGGTGCAGGAGCTCGCACCCAGATGATCACACCAGCCTGAACGTGGACCCGGTGTCGCTCGACGTAGATAGAAACCAGACTCTGTGTTTGACTGCGCGGCTGCCCGTAATCGTTCACAAGGTAACATGCAGTCGACCTGGTTTACCGCTCAGTAACAGGGCGAGAGCTGCTCGTCCTGACGGAGAGCAACGAGCAGCATAGCCACAAGTTTCCAAGCTGGATCCGGTCTACATCAATGCAGAACTATCCCTTTTGAACTGCCACTCCACTGCTAAATGTTTGCAGAACTTCACCCTTATTCTGGACCCGCTGCAGTCCCTGAAGTATCACTGCTCTGCTGACTTAAAGCTGCGTCCTGTGTGTCCATACTGCGTCGAGCCTCTGACTGTCCCGCGTTAAAATGAGGCCTCGATGATCTGTTGTGTTTACGTTTAAGTTTGTTCTTTTCAGATGAGGAGGATCCGTTTGCTGACAGATCGCTGTACGTCACAACGGTTCATTGTTTTGGAAAAGCTGCAACTGAGAGGCCGCTCTTCAGTTCAAACTGCACGGTGCAACACAAATAATACAACGGATTTCACCCTTTCTTATAGCTTCCTCCATCTGACCTGGCGCTCTGTCATCTGAACTCTACAGTGTTTTATTTACTTCACATTTACGCAGACTTACTTTGCCTCCTTGAACAGATTTTTGTAACTTGCTGGTGTGACGGAGCCTTAGCACCTTACTGCTCTACCTGTTCGCTGAAGTGCCTGATCATGTTGACATAAAGCTGTACCTTCTGATTTTCTGGCTCCCAAGCTAGCATACATGTGACATGAGTTACCTCAAAAAAACCCTGAGGGTTCAGTCTGGATTCTTCTCTCTCACGACCTGCTGTCTGATGAGGTTTAAACACAGAAAGGGGGAGCCACAGGATATGAAGGATGAGACGGCTCACATTTGTGTGACTGGTTTGGCTGAAGTGCAGTCAGACCTGAACCCTCAGCTCCAGTCCTGACCTGAGACAGACTCACCCAGGAGTTTCCATCTGTGAAGAAGACGTTTGACCTCAAAGCAGCGGCAGAAACTCTTTCAGAGAGCGCAGGTGGCCAGAAAATGGATGTAAACCTATCAACACTAAAACTAAACTAAGCCGGACCCCAACGCTCCCACAGCAGGTTTAAACTTCATCTACTGTGATATTTTTATCTAGTCCTGTTAAAACCTGATGCTTTTACTCGTTTCCTGTTAGCGTGCCTTGCTTTAGGTTTCCTAAACTCACGCACAAACGCCTGATGTGATTGGTTGCTTTTTTAATGCAGACCTCTGTACGTCGCTACTGTCTGGGAGGTGGGGGGGGGAGACGTCACGCATGAGAAAGGAAACCCACGTTGAGCCCTGGTTATTTTGTTGTTGTTTTTTTGTGTTTTATGAGCCTCAGAATCAAAGTGTTCCTAACAGACAACAGACTGTTTTAGTTTTATTCAGTAAAAAATGACGTTTGCTAAATTAATCTTAGTGTTTGAGCACGCTAACATCTCCGCTCAAGGGATGCCGACATCAGCTGGTCCAGAGCGAAACCTCATGATAACTCGTGGATCTGGGTTTTCTTTAAATGTGTTCCTAAACAGTTTCTTGCTCCACAGGAGATGAATCCTCAGGGTTTTGTCGCTACAAGCAGGTTTTTATCGCCCAAATCTTTTGTGCGTACCTCTGGAACAAATGAGTCCCTGCGAGCTTAATGCTCAACTTGCTTTGACATCATACACGGTGGAAACATGTTAGATGCTAACTGTTAGAACATAAACATGGAACAAAAAAAATACCTGTAGGTGGCACTGGGCATTGGTGGTGCAGTTAACTCTTGGGGGCTAGTTAGCAGGTTACTGTGGCTAACTAGTTATGTGCTAGTTAGCCGGTAACATGCTGGCACTGTTGAGCCGACGTAGTGCACAAAGATAGACAGACAAGCTAAACAGACATGGACAAACCGTCGTTGCACCATAAAGTCTTGCCGATTACTGGTCATACTCCACCAAAGCTAATGCTCCGCCTTCTGTTCCCTCGAAGGTCAGCACTGCTCGGTTAGTTGCTCTTCAAGTTTTCTTGATCACCTGATTTTTCATTTCTTTACAAGCTGATACTTTAGCACATACCTGTGGATCACACGACAGAGTCCCTGTGAGAAGTCCTGTACTTTGAGATTAATGCTAAAGTCAGAAATCTAACTTGCCGTGTTATCATACACACTGGAAACGCGTTCAATGCTAACTGTTAGTATATTAACGTGGCAAAAAAAGATACAGGAATTTACCCTCGGAAAATACCTGTAGGTGTGACTGGGGTTTGGTTAACTCTGGTGGGCTAGCTAGAGCTAACTAGTTATGTGCTGGTTAGCCGGTTAGCACTATCGAGCCAAAATAGCTCACAAAGTTAGCTCGGTCGCTACAAGTTAGCTAAATAAAACTTGACCAGACAAATATACATGGACAAACTGAATTTGTTACATGAACTTGTGTGATAACTCCACCAGAGCAGAGTTGTATAGAACGATATGACGCGACTCAGCTAATGTGCTAGCTTCCGCCATTTTGGACCGATTAGCTCTCTGTTCCGTTGAAGGTCAGCACTGCTCAAACAGTCAGATACTAACTACAGTGCAACAGGTGTGTTTAATATCATAGGTGTTTCCTTTGTCTAAAGTCTAAAGCATATTTTAACTTTTACAACGATCACTGTAAACAACTTGCCTTTAAAAAGCTTGATAAGTGTCCGTTTGCTAAATGTCGTGTTACTTATAAAGATGTGAAAAGTATTTTGCCATGTTGTCATTTCAGTAATTGTTTTTTCTGTTTTGTTAACACGCTGATGGATTTTTTGGGATGTGACCTTTTTTCTTTTTATTGTATTGCCAAAAAAACAACGTTTGTCAGTGTTTTGACAACTCTTTCTCCTTATGCACGAGCACTTTGACCAGTATTTTACCAGGAGTTTGTATAAGAGAGAGTTTTCCATGTTGTATAGTGTTTTGAATTTTCTCGGCTTTTTACGTGTAGAAACTTATTTCTTCTTTTTTTTTCTTGGATGGATTTAAGTCCAACAGTTAGTTTTTTCCTTTTGGCTTGACTAAATAAAAAAGCTGCAACTAAAATTTATCATTATGAGTTTAATGTTTGTATTTTAGTCAGAAATCGGCTTGTTTATAAAGACAGATGCAGCGTGTAAAAGAGGCAACATGTTTCTCTCTCCATCTGGATTCTAGTTAGCTTTCGTCCTTTTCTCTGCAGGCGTACCCCATTTTGCTTTAATGGCGTATGGACACTAAGAAATAAAAATAGGCCATGCTGCAGAAAGCAAGTTTATGTTAATTTCCCAAACAAGCCTGCAGGACCAAAGGGGTGAAGTCCATAGGTGTCATTTACACTGGGGACGTGGGGACGTGTCTCCACCACTTTTTGAAAGCATTTGTTAAAAGTTTTCTGAAAATTATCTTGCAACAAGAAATGTTAAACGACAAATAAAAATTCTATGAGAAAAGTTTACTTGCACAATAAGAAAAGATGAAATGCAATTTAAATCTAGCAGAAACGGATCTGCTTCGTCCAAAAAAATAACTACAAAACAAGCTGCTGATTACTGCATTATATTCTATAATATTATTCTGATTTGACCTGCCACCTGAACTTTTAGTCATTTCCACCATAAATTGGTGCAGAGAATGCAGGAAATTAAAAGTTTAATGCTCAAAATCTTCTAATTGAATATTTCATCAATGAATATTTCTTCTACATAGTATATATTGGAGTTTCTTGTTGTCTTTTTCTCGTGACTCCAATATTGTGAAGTGTTTTGTCACACCGCTAATATGAGCCCTTAAATGTCCCCGCAGCTTTTCAACACAAAGTGACGCCCTTGGTCAAGCCATATTTTCTCTTTGTACAATTTTCAAACATTAAGTAAACTCAGAGCTTTCACTCAGGCGACCGAGGTTCGAGTCCCGTGTGACAGAAAGTCAAAAGTGACACGTTATAAGTTAAATATTGTTTTGTAGATGATTGAGGTCACATGACTTACGTAATGTACTTATTTTAAACCAAACCAACCAAGTGCTTTAGTTGCCTGAACGTAACCAAACTACCACTGTTTCACGTTTTACCACATCTTAAATGCCATGTGACTCAGGTCACGTGACTTACTTAAGCTTTCGCTGGATACATGCTGTTTTGGGACACTTGACAATCGACCTGTTTTGTTGTTTAGGTACTACTTAGCTATTTTAAAGTTAAACTATGGAAAGTAAAAGGGCTTGTTAATAATGATGCATCATTGCATAAGCAGCTTTTCACTGTTCACTTTTAACTACCTACCTTAGTGTAAAATCTAAACCTGCCTTATGCATCATTTCTAAAGAACTGAGCTCACCTGCTGCATCAGCACTGTGGGGAAGGGATCTGAAAACTTGAGCCAACATCTACAGTCACATTTTGAATCAAACTTTTTCCAAATGAGAAATATTAGATATATTGTTTTTTTTCTGGCAGAAAGTTGGGTAAATCAGATAAAGAGAACTCATTGATCCCGGGTCAGTCCCCGGCTCCACCGGTCTGCATGTTTAAGTGTTCTTGGGCAATCGAGACACAGACCCCCAAATTGGTCCCGGTGCCCACGTGTGAACGGGGTGACTGTGATGTAGTGTGAAGCGCTTTGAGTGGTCGAAAAGACCAGAAAGGCGCTTTACAAAGTACAGACAGGTCTGCCCACACCCACCCACTCAGAACTCAACTGTAAGGCCAAACTCACACTGCACTAGTCGTCACTTCACTGTACTACCATCTGGGTGCAAGTCCCTGAGGTGTAGAGGGGCTCATTTTGGCAAAAGCCTGGTACCTGCAGCCACTGCCGCCCTGAACAAGGTCTCTAGACGAGGGCACCAGGAGCTTTCACCTGTCCTGTCTGTTGTACGTTGGTGTATATTTGTCAGTTGTATGTTAAGCTGTGAAAAAGTCTAGCCATGTGAAGAACAAGGACTTTGCTCTGCTCAGTGTAACTCACCTGTAAGACCACCAGAGAGCAGCAGTGGACAGTCTATAGACGGGTGAGGGTTTCCTTCCAGGACAGTGTGCAGGAGTCCTGCTGGCATTTAACCTGCAGGCTGCTCTGCACCTGACAGAGCATCGGTTTCTGATCACAGCAGGCTGTCTGCAGCGCTGACAGCCTGCTGACAACACGCAGCAACAACATGACAGATCAGCTCATTATTCTAACACATGGGAACAAACTGGGCTCAACATCATGAGGTCTGAACAAATCCAAGCAAGCCTTACATCCCGAGGGGGTGTGGGGAGGTGATGGAGCAGTGGATAAGACACATGCCTTTGGTGTGAGGGACCTGGGTTCAATCCTCCACTGTGACCCATCCACCAGCGTGTCCCTGAGCAAGACACTTAACCCCTCGTTGCTCCAGAGGCGTGCGACCTCTGGCACGTACAGCAATTATAAGTCGCTTTGGATAAAAGCGTCAGCTAAATGAATAAATGTAACCAGTGAGTTGTTATTTACATGGTGTCCACATACGTTTGTCTAGTTTCCCCACAGTTGACTTCATTTGTGTAGTTAAATATTTCAACAGCTTTGTCATGATGTTCATTTTCCCCAGAGGAAGAATCCTCCTGGACATTAGTGGTTAAACATCTCTTTTTAAACTTTTCAGTTTAGTTTGGAGTGAGATTTGGTGTTCGGTGGACCCAACGCGGGGGTCGGGGTCATCACTCCTCAATCCTCAGGAATTTAGTTTAAACCTTTCAGCAGCTAAACTCACAATTTTAAAGAACCTATAGATGAAAAGCCAAGTCAATAATCATGGTAATCGATTAATAATAATAATAATAATAATCCTTATTTGTTATTACAAAGTGCTTTAACAAGTGTAAAGAATAATACAAAAAAACAAGATAAGAGCATGAAAAATTGAATAAAATAAAAGGGATAAAATAAAGTCAAATAAGATCGGGAAAGGCTCTCCTATAAAAGTATGTTTTAAGAAGGGACTTAAAAGAGTTCACTGACTCAGCCGACCTGATTTCCTCGGGCAGGCTGTTCCAGAGCCTCGGGGCCCTGACAGCAAACGCTCTGTCCCCTTTAGTTTTCAGTCGAGACTCTGGAACAGACAACAGACCTCTGCCCGAGGATCTCAAGGTACGTGCTGGTGCGTATGGGACTAAAAGGTCAGAAATATAACAAGGCGAGAGGCCATGAAGAGCTTTAAAAGTGATCAATAGAATTTTAAAGTCAATTCTAAAACACACTGGGAGCCAGTGTAATGAAGCTAAAATAGGAGTAATGTGGTCATATTTCTTTGTTCTGGTTAAAAGCCTGGCAGCTGAGTTCTGGACAGTCTGGAGTCCATCAATAGATTAATTATGGCTGATCAGCAAACTTGCAAAACCTCCAGAGACCAAAGGCTAAATCAGGAAACCAAAACCTAACCAGGTATCTGGTATTCCCCAAGAAAATGTCTTTCAGAGACTGTTTTCTTGCCTCCTAGTGAATTTAGGGGGTTATTTTGTTGCTGAAATGCAGGAGTGTAGGTTTTTTCTTATTAAGTTCAATTCAATTTTATTTATATAGCGCCAAATCACAACAACCGTTATCTCACAGCGCCTCATAAAGAGCAGGTCTAGACCGTACTCTGTGATGTTATTTACAGAAGCCCAACAGTTCCCACCAAGAGCAGCACTAGGAGACAGAGGCAAGGAAAAACTTCCTTTTAAGTGAGCGTTAAGCACTTCATTTCCTGCATTGTGATGAATTCTTCTGCATTTTCTGCAGCACATTATGGTGGAAATGTTTTTATTTATGTAAAGGGAAACGCACAATTCAGACGGCAGGTGATAATTCAAACCTAACAAAAGCTCTGTTTCTCTTGAAGATCAACTTTTCTCCTGTAATCTCATCCCGATATGTCCAGAAAAAATCATAATATTACAAGACTAATGTCGTCATTTGATAAGAGTTCATTAAGCCTACCTTCCCTATACTCTGCTGTGCATTAGTCTGGCTGTGGAGGTGTGTGTTAGAGTCATTTTGGCACGTATTATTATTTGGTGACTTGTTAATTATCACATGCTGTATGGCAGAAGTTGATTTTGATAGTTGTGTTTTTTGTAATTGTTAATTGGGGTGAGTAGTTGTGAGTGCGAAATGGAACATGTTGCTGATGTGGAGAAATCTCCCAGGAGAAAGGATTGTAGCAGGTTTTTACGGTGCATTTGCTAAACAGGTTGGACTTGCCGGGTCTGGGTCAACTTTGTAGGGACCACAGTGCTGGACCCCACAAGTTTAAAGGGCTGTTTGAGGGTCAAAACTTGGTTTTAGAGTTCAGGTTTGAATTTAAGGTGAAGGTCAGAGTTGGGATAAGAGTTACCGGCCGCCGAGTTGTACTGCACGGTCAGACAGGCTGATGAGGCCTCGCTGGCTTCCGTTACATCAGGAAGGGATAACTCCCCATAAGAAGTTTTAATGCACTGAAACTAGGTTTTCTTGTTTTCTTATTAAAAGTTCATAACTTCAACAGATAAGTAAATGACTAACTAAGAAAGGGGAGGGGGAAACTAAAGAAAACCCTGTAAATGTTTGTTGTATTGTATATGAATTGTTCAGCCAGTATTTAAATGAAGCTTCTAGTCTCAGCAGAGCAGCCTATCTATAGTCGTTTCACGCCATGTAGTCTCTACCGACTCATGCTGTGCAGAGGCATCGTGTCATTTTTACTGTTGCAGGGAGAAGACCAGGTATAGGGGATAATTAATCCGAATAGTCTGCGTAAGGAGGCGGTTGGAGTTGGGGGGCCAGAAACCAGACTTTGACTCAGGACGCCGGCGTTCGTTTCCAGCGCAAAACAAATGGACAAGAATGACATATGATTTAAGGGAAGTTACGTTACACTTACGTTAAGTTAGTGTTAAACGCGTCGACAGGCCCCCAAAGCGTCTTACCCTGAGCATCGCAGGTGTGGTGTGCCTATACCTGAGTCACTGTTTGTACGCATGTGGACCGGTGAACCTCCTTTGTGTTGCTGTGGGCTCTGGGGACTAAACTAAACGAAACTAAATCGCACACTCGAAAAGCTTAAATTGTGTTGACATAACACGAGAAA